TGGCCCCGGTCCGGTTCCGACCCGGTTGGGTCCTATCCCTAGAACCAGAACCAGAACCGGGCTCTGACTAAAGCCCTCTAAGCGGGCTTCGCCCGCCATGGTAACAGGAATAACGTATTTCTTAAAAAATCACTGAGAGCGGGCTTCGCCCGCCTTTGAAGCAAAAGCCCAGCTCACAGAACTCTGCAGAGTCTCTGGTGGTCGCCACGGCGACAGCAGCCAGGCCAAAGTCTCTGCTCCCACACCTGTGACTCATCAGTAAGCCGCAGTTCTGACACAGAGAAGTGGCAGTTTCTATCAAACGTTGCCTCCGAACGGCTGTACGCTGTTCGAAAACTATAACACAAAACTGAAAAATTCTTGGACCGTGAGCGGGCTGAGACTTTCACGTCTCAGCACATCTGTTTATTTTTCGCCTGCTCCCAGCAGTTATTTTTTTATGGCAATTTCAAAATGAGGGTCGTTTTGTCTCTGGTGAAAAAAAATCTCTCCTTTCTTCCATTAAAATCATATTGGAGAGGGTTGGGAATGTCTGGACTCTGGGCTCGATTGCCGGAGAACCGTAAGGCCGAGGTCCACACCGGGCACATCGGCTGAAAGAGGACACCTGCAGCTACGTTTTGAGGCCATTTTGGCACCGCTCGGCCCCACGGATTGGTCGCGAGGGACCATAGTTTGACTTTTTTTCAGTGAACCTCCCCACTGGACTCTGAGAGCTCTTAACGAGCTGAATTAGAGTGCGGGCCAGGATCTCTGATTTTCTGAATTTCACTAAAACGTCAACAGCGATTGCGGAGAAACGGTGTGAGATCTGGCCTCGTGGCTCCAATATGGCGGAGGCCCGTCTTTCGTGTCCCGTTCAATGTTCAAACAACGTCTCTCGGACGCTCTGGGCCCGAGCGATGAGGCCCTGACGGGCCTCATCTTTCGGCTTTTTTTGTGCCTTTTTTTCTGCGTCCCCCATGCATTCCTATGGGAAAACGCTCGCCACTTTTTCGCCGTTTACTCGGAAACGCGCGCTCCTTTGAGAAAGTTTTTAACAAGCACGCATGGCTAGGTGGGTCCGAACGCGCGTGCCGACTTTGGGCCCGATCCGTCGAACCGTGCGGGACGAGAAGCGGTCCGCGGAAACGGGAGAACGATAATAATAAGTGACGGAATAAATATGAAGAAGAGTAATACGTGGGCCTTGCCTGCGGCAAGGCCCACCTCGGTGGACCCTTAAGGGCCACCGAGGTGGGCCATGCCGCAGGCGTGGCCCCCCTAATTAACATGTCAGCAGCAAGGAATTTCACTGTAATAGCTTCTCAAAATACCACCGCTGCCATAATCTGTTCTCCTCTCATCTGTAACATGGATCTTTCATACACTCTGTTAATCTATGAGCTCAGCTTGTTGACATAAAGAAACACATTTAATTATTGATTTGAAAACTGACATGTCAATGCAGTATCCGTAGACACCACTTGATGGCAGGAGAACCCCATCCATATTCATCAAAGCATCCATGGACTAAAATGTTAAAATAACACCCTTCAAGAAAAGAAATGTCATCCTCATCTTCAATTGTCCCGATTTGAATCCCATCTCCTCTTGTCATTACCCTCCTTGTCCCTCAAAATCCGATACCGTCATGCCTCACTTACCTTCACAGACAAGCAAAATCGAACCATCTAGTGATGTGCCTGCAGTCACTTGGGATGCATATGAAGCAATGTGGTGCTATTTGACTAATTCTGTCCACAGCCCTGTGGTGTATTCACTATGTGTATTTGTCTGCGTGACTGGGACAGATGACAACAGGGCCCGGCTGCACCGCCACATTGCTACAAACATTTCAGCTTTGTTGCCCGATTCCCTGCCACCAGGCCCCATTGAAACCAAACCTCATGAAACATTTCACGCCCAGCTCCCAGTGGAAATTTTACTTCTATTATACCATCCGCTGCTTGTGCTCAAACACAAATAAACATTTCCTAAAGTGTTGAAACGTGCACTACATGCTCATTTTCTTGTAGTAACACTCGTTTCATGTTGGGACCATGTAAATCCTTGTGCATATATCTTGTATTATTATTGAATGGAAACCAATTTATTTCTTTTTTACTTTTACCCTTTAAAGCCTCATCCAAGAACAAAACAAAACAGATTTTTTTTTTTTTTTAATTCCTTATTTGGCCTTTTAACAAAATATGTAAAAAGAAAAAACAGAAATACTTTTTTAATATTAATAATTTATTACTATGCGATAAGTCAAGATTATTTTTTGGGTAGTCTTATATATGTCTTGTATATGTGAATGTGTACAATAGGATTTTGAGCAAAGTTTTTGCCATTAAATTATACAAAAGGTGTCAGACGCAAAACATTTCAGAAACCGTATGAATCAAACATGATACATTTGGCATTACAGGGTTAAAAGAAAGTATCATATCATATTATATCATGTTATGGACATTCACATGACAAACCTAACACAAAAAAACACATAGCTGTTTAGAACTCAAAATGTTAATAGTCCCTTTTTTCGTCAGTGTCGTTATTCTTACCTATCTCGCAGTTGGTGCCCAGGTAACCGGTACCAGTGCAATCGCATATGTACCGATTCCATCCCTCTTTGCACATTCCGGCATTGCCACAGGGAGCGCTGCTGCATCGCTTCTGCAGCTCGCGGGTGCAGAAGCTGCTGACACCCAGCGCGCTCTGAATCTCTGCCAGGCGGCGGACATCTCGGCTCTTGCCGTCGATGAAGAGGTCACGGACGCAGCCCACGTAGCCGTAGTTAAGGAGCGCCGTCCAAACCTCGGGCGGCAGGATGAGGTCAGACTTCGACTCGGGCAGTCCGCCTAGGTACATATCACTGTCCAGGTCCAGGATCTCGCTACCCTCAGGAGAGCTGAAGGGCATGCTGCGGCTGTTGACCGAAATAGTGCCTATTGGAAAGACATACAAACCAGAGCAGAAGGCTAGTTTTAACTACCAACATACTAAGGCGCAATCATTTCCTCTGTTATTTTTTTTTTCTTCAATTTTTTGGGGAAAATGGATTGGATATTTTGTCTTGTAATTACTTGGGATGTGGGATTCATGTGGGAGATTGTTAGTTTCCTTAGTAAGGACATTTTCTGAGTGAATTTCATTACATTTACATGTAATTATTTACTTGTAAATCATAATCATTTACATCTAATTTCAACATCTAGATGTTGAAATAATGTATGATGTTGGATAAGGAATTTATAATAATGAATTTGATTATAAATGGCTTGAATTGGACTATGTCACTGAAATGCCATTATATGTCATTTGATGCCAAATTAAATTGAAGAACTGGTACCGACCAGCTTCTTAGCTAACACAAAATATGTGAAAAAGAGCAGCACCACAAAGAGAAGGAAGACAGCAGCAAGGCCTCCGGGAAGCTTCTCGAGATAGGCTTAAGGGTTATGGCTAAAGGTCAGCTTTTTAATTTTTTGGGGGGAAAATGGGTTGGATAAATTGGCTTAAATATTTAATAAGTCTGGTCATCTTAGTGAATCAATGAGAACGCATTTCATCATCTGTTAATGACTCAAAGAAACATTGGAAGTGACAAGCATTGGACACAATAGATGGTTGTGCTGGAGGGAGGTCAAGTGCGTGAATGAGTATGACGGGCAGTAGGTAGCTAATTTATGGCTAAAAATGAAAGAATGTAAAGCAAATGGGGCCAAGATGACAGTGGATTGTCTGAGTGCATGTGCCTGTGTCTAATGTGTCTATAATAAGCTAAATGGAGAAGAAGGGGAGCAGAATGCAGCAGGGAGTGGGCGCAACAAAAGGCCCTCTCCCTTCCTGTGATTAACGACTCCATCTTAATTTTCTATTAAAAGCCAATTACAGCAGGAGCAGCAGTGAGATCGCACACACACACACACACTCACACACACTTGAACGTGCACACACACACATTACCATTTGCACTCTTACCGATTATTAAACACCATTATGTGAGAATATCATGTCTATGGCGCTGCAGTACCAAGCAATCAGTCAACAAGAAGACATTTGCCAGAATGCAGATGCTCATGTTTGGGCCCATATACAGGTAGAGGCACTTGAGGACATCACACAAGAATTAAGAGATATCACCATGTTGACTGTAACACTTTGACTGTAACACTTTAAATGCAATTTATTAGGACCTGATCATTCTGTTTCTGTATCTGGTAAATACTCAACTGATCAATTTAGTGTCAGATTCACTGTTCTAAGGAGCTAAAATATACCATCAAAATTTGTAGTTGTGCACATCTGCTATTTTGGGATACAAACAAATCAATACAAGCTATTTTACAAAAATGTTTCCTTGCTAAACTTGACATGTTTATTTATTTATCTCAGATGAGTCACCTCACAATGTGCAAATTTGAATGTGGGGTTATAAAATGTGGATGATAAATGTAGAAATGTCCCCGTTCTTTGACAGAGTTATAAAATATGAGCCGATGATGTGATTCAAGCGAAGCTCAGCTGCGTCGTTTCACATCAGCCCGCTCTAAAGCGTCCTCACCTTTCCTCCCTTCCCTCTGGAAATCAACATGGCACCATTCCCCGTCGTTGACCTTCTTGTTGCTGGCCTTGAGCTTGGTTTTCCCCGAGCCCATATCGATCAGCAGGTATAAATACCCGTCCAAAAGTTCCATGGCAAAGTAATCGGTCTTCAGTTCCCTGCCGGGCTTCTGCTCTTTGGGACCTTGAGGGTGGCCGTGGCTGAAGAGCAGCAGGCCGCTGGGCTCTGTAGTGCGGAAGTCAAACGAGATCGATCCCGTCTTCTTGGTGTTCCACTTAGGCAGAGAGATGTAGGACTCGGGGGTCTCAAAGGTTACGGGGTCCAGTGCCGCCACATCCTCACAGCGGAACACCAGATCCCCGTTCAGCGTGATTTTAGGGTCGCGTTCGATGGCCAGCCGGGAAAGCTCCAGCTTAAAGTCGTTGTTTTTATATACCACCTACAGTCAAGAGAGGTGAATAATAAAAGTTAAGAATTGTCAGAATTTTTTTTTAAAGAAGTAAATTTCCCAACAGAGACTACCTTGTAATCCAAGCTTTATTCACTGATGAAAAAACCCTGTCAGTATTTCTAAAGAAAAAAAAAAAAAATTATTTTCAGCTGCTGTGGAAAGCTAGTTTTAGAGTGGAAAAAAAGCTGCATGAAAAACCAAACAAGAAATTAAGGTCTGATAAATGCTCAGTTTACTGATCTTGAATTATTTGGTAGGGAAATTCTTTACTCTTTGAACAAACGAAATAGTGATAAACCTCTTGGGGCCGATGGACAAGCTTTTATGCATTTTAATGATGTCTGTGAGAGTCGGTGTTGAGTGGTTGCATAACACATTGCATGCAACGAGATCTCATTAACACTGTATGAACTCCTAACCCTAGATAAAATCCATACGAATATACAAACTGTTTGATGTCGTAAATGAATGGTAGCTTAGAATTGGGAGTAAATATTCACCTCAAGTTAAAAAACAAAAATCAAAGGCTCTGTGGGATATCCAGAAACAGAAGGACGTGAATGTTGCCTGCAACCTTAATGCAAATGCATCTCTCCGCCTTTGAAATACAGCTCTATTGTTAGAGCTCAAAGTGTGTGTCTATACCTCAAGTGTGCATTCATAATGGATGAGGAACTGAAGGCAAAGTAAACGACTATTTTTTTTCACGGTTTCAGTTTTCCTTTAATGTGCCGTGAGAGGCCATCCTCGAGGTACAGTTGTGTTCTCTCTGTGGGTTTCATTCTTCATGTGGAACTCTCTCACACACACACACATGCATTGAATGGCCTATGCAAATATCTATCTCTGATCCGTGTCCAAGGCAAGCTACATATTTTGTTGTAGTGTTCTGATAAGTTTCCCAGGAACAGATGGGCTCTGGAGAAGTAGTGACCGAGTAAAAACTGCTTATTGTTTTTTGAGAAGGCTGTTATGCTAGTATTTACTACTTTCCATCACAATGAATTAGACAATCAAATTAGAATAACAGTCTGAACTTATTTCAGATTATTGGGAGAGTTTAAATAATCACATCTTGTGTTTGAAAACTTAAATTAAAGGATAAAGCCCTGTAAAGATGAATCTTTTTATACAAATTATTTCTCTAATTGTTCACAGGTTTAGAGTATTCTTAAATTACTCTGTCCTCATCAGAGAAGGAATGCAGATTCATCCTCTGAAAGTCTTATTTGTATCTGTTTGCACTGGCCTATTTTCATGTTGCCTGTATTTTAAGGCTTTTCTTGTCAAACACGGTCCACTGAATCACTTTTTCACAACCCAATATGTCAGGCTGATGGTGCCATTCTTCATCATCTGTCAAAGCATCTATTTCAAACGCCCTCAAACCTTCGCCATTTTCTCTCATGCAGGGGCACTCTATACCTTCCTCTGTCTTTCCTCCCCTGTCAAAAATTACACCCACTCGCAGGCACAGAATGCTCAGCGAGAGCAAGGATATGCCAGGCTATTCTTGAACTTAAGCCTCCTTCAGTTATCTTCTACATTGGCCATGCTGCTACATGTACTGTACACCTCATACTGTCGTCATTAGCAGAGATTAGTCTTGGTAATTAGCCATGATAACACTAAAACTGGCAACTAATAAGGCGTGAAGTTGCATGGCATAAGGTGTAAGGGAGAAAAAGCAAGTTAGGTACAAGGGTAAGAGGATGTTTGGAGGTATTTTATTTAGTTTATTCTTTGCTTAATGTTTTTTGCTCAGTCTCTACAAAAGATGGCCTGGTTAAATGCTTTTCACAAATGGTTATAAAGCAATAGCTGAAATAAGATGAGGACATGCTGTAGCAGACTCAAACACAACCATTTTTACCAAAACCATTGCCCTCAAGATACTGATAGATTTTGATAGTTATGTCAGTAATCATGTAAGAAATCTTCAGAATTAAACATTGTGATGATAAAAAGTCTAACATTTTTCGAGGTAACAGATCGTTAAAAAAAGTGTGTCATACTTGACAAAAACGTATGAAAATTTTATCCCAATAAGTCCATAATCAGTATGATTTGGAACATTTAGTGCTCAAATGTGATCCTCCAAAGTAACTTTTCTCCACCGATAAAAGTTTTGTATATTTTCCATGGTGATTATTGGTTAATTATAACAATAAGAGGGAATATACCTAACATCCATTTGTGAAGCTGAGCAAAATTATTCTCACTGTTAGAATATCCTTAAATCTGGTTGGCTGTGAAGCACAGGCTGTTCGTGTGATTTTTTATATGGACTCAATGACGTGAGTCTGTCTACCTGTGTTTTCTTAGAAAACAACAACACATGGTGAAATGAGGTGCACAGGGGAACAATAAAAAAGAATGTAAAAAAAAAAAAAAGATTGCAGGGCTGCAAAATCAGCCAAAGCATTGAACTGTAAGAGAAAACGAAAAAGATGGTTGTGAATAAAGCCAACATAGGCTTACAGAGTTCCATGAAGATATGTTCTAGGGCTAGCGCTCAAATGTATAAAACATCTGACATAATCTTCAGAAAGCTAAAAACATTCAGCATTCTGACTGGCTCAACTTATGGAAATAGTCTGTGTCCATTAAAATGCCACCCTTTTGTTTCTTAAAACCATTTCGTAAGATGCCATTTCTAATATGTAAATGAGTAACTGTGTGGCTATGCTAATGGACTGTGCTATAATGGTATAACTGACACAATGCTAAAGCTTTCCTCTGGGTTGACTTTGTAATTTTTTCAGAGTAAAAACTTTTCCATTACAACAATGATAATTTCTTCCCTCATTCACATGTGGTTCTGAATACTTGATGGATCAAATCGCCACACAGCTTTAGCTTTTGCTTGTCATGATGGGTAGCAATCAAATCCTTGTAGTTAGCTTATATTCTAAAATGAATTGCTCCATTGAACAAATTATTAATAAAATATGAGGATTACCGTAGTTTGTACCCTGTAATTAAAAAGGTGTGAAGTGGACTTTTGTTAGTTGGGTGTGAGTCGTATTGATTGATGGCACCAGTAAGAGCAACAGAAGTGAGGCTATGAAGAAAATGCAAGAAAAAAAAGACTGAGCATCAATATGAAGTTTGGATGGCAGACTGAATGAGAATGGGGGCAAGGAGGGGGCCAAGAGCGTTCACCCAGTGTACAGAATCAGTCGAAAAAATCAATTTCTAATTTGGCCGTCAAGATGGCAAAGATGGCGTACCAACAGCACTACCATAGACTTAATTACACAAAACTGCCCCTGAGAATGGGAAGATGAGAGTCAGGGAGAGAGAAAAAAGATAGAGGGGAAGCAATGAGAAAGGCTGCAATAGTGAAAAGGACAAGCAGGTGGAGTGAGGGAGTGAAGGACTGAAGGACAGGGTGCTGCGAAATGGACGATAGCAAGGTCAGTGACTGGGAGAGAAAAATGGAGGCATGATTTTAGAGGAGGACCCACAGTTGGTGGCATAAGTGAGTGGGAATGAGGCTAAAGAGCTGAGGGGAAAAGAGACCTAATTTCACACCCCACCTCCCAAACTGTGAAACTAGAAAACACACATATGTACATCACATGCTATGCGATCATAGCATGTGGGTGACTCGTAGCAAAGCAAATACAAACTTGTTGGGTATAGGGGTTGTCTCTTTTGCTGCCTTTTTTTTTTTAGTCTTCCTCTACTGTGCTCATCCATTGGATTTCTGCTGCCTGGGGGGTGCTGGCCAAGCATATCAAAGGCATTTGACCACAGTGGCAGCATGAAAGCCTTGCCCCAGACCCTAACTCCCTCTGATAATCCAAGCTGTGCCACTGAACTAGCTCAGGATGAAACATATGGCTGTCTATCCCCCGTGCACCACTTCAAGAACATATTGCCGTCCATCCCCCATGCACCACTTCAAGAACTTGCTTGCTTTTTCACTTTTAGGGACTACGGTGCTACTCTACCTTTTTGCTGTCAGTCTGACAGATTGCAGGTTTTTCTGGGGCCTGTCTGACTCAGATCGGCTCATGATGTTATTACAACTAGACTGAAGCTCAATATTTCAGGCCAGAAAAACACACAAACAAATTGTAAATCTACACAACCTGTCATTTCCTGTCTGTTTGTCACTGTCCTGGAGATTTCTTAGTCTGTAGTTGCCTAAAACACCCACCATTAACATTTAAAATTGTTCACATTGTTTCTTCATTTTCACCTGCATTTGCAGTTGTTAACTTCTTTTTTCCAGCTCATACCTCTTTTCCTTCCCTGTCAGCACACTGAATGCTATCCCAGCCTTGTCTTGATGAGAGAGAGGATATCTAAGTGCCCTGGGAAGTTTAGAACCCACCAGGGATCTTTTAGATCGCAACCCAAATAATGAAAATGTAATTCTACAGGCATAATTAAGTAAGCGATAGGGTGATTACTATGTGATCCATTAAAAGTGATGGCAAAAGTAATTACTTATTCAATCAGTAAAGTTTTACGAGGAAATGCAATGGCACCATGTTGCGTTGCCTCTATACAAGTCATTACATTTACAAGGACATAATGGCCTAAGCTGTGATTGATCCTCTTGACAGCTTGTTCAGTTGTGAGTTAAAGCCCCGGTGAAATAAAAGAGAGCTTTAAATTGATTTTAAATAACATTTTTAAAAGGTAACTGAACTGTCTGTTACATAGCCATTCTAGGCTGCATGCATCGGAATCTGTCTATTTGTACCAGTCTGCCTTGGAGTGCTGGATTCCTGTGGAAGTGTCCTGTTTACAGCGAGGTTTGGAAGCAGGGGAGGAGGTGTGGAGGAACAAACACAACAGATTCAAGATGTTGTGTGTCTAACACCTCCTACTCTCACATATGGCAGTTCTGTCAGCCAATACTGATGATTCTCGAGACACTGTCAGTCAACATAAATGATCTCATATAAATGCATGAGAATGGCATTTCATATTAAACCGTTGGATCCCCCTGTATCATATTTGAAAAAAAAACTGCATATATACTGAGTTCTTTTTGAGTTTTTATGGAAATAAATAATGTTTATAGTATATAATGGGACAATAAATAGCAATGCTGTAATTGTTTCTGCAGGAAATGCAATACATAATGACATAAAGCACATACCACAAACTCCACTATCACACATAGTCACTCACATCTTTAAGACAGCCCATAAAGTTGTTGCTGACTGGCGATCCAGGAAGGTCTGCAGTGTTGGGGCTCCCCCCAATGTAGAAGAAGTCATCAGAGCCCAACATGGTGTAATCTTCCTGGGTGTAACCAGTGGTGGTCAATATACCATCAACCGAGATGGTCACCTGTTTATGGGCACCGTCACCCAGACAAGAGATAGAAATATACAGCCAGAGAAAAAAGGAGAAGAGCAGGAAAAGACAGAAAGTGATAAGAGAGAAGAGAAATTAGAGGAAATGAGATGAAAAAAACAAGAAAGAAATTGGATTAAACACCAAATATGGGCAGGAATGTCCACTAAAAGGGTTTCATTTTGTTGGCTGTTTTTGATGCCAATCAGTCTGAGAGCTGTCTCTCTGGGGTGCAGTTGCTTGAGTGAGAAAAAGCCATTTGAACATAACCGAGCTGATAGACACAATCAGTGGTATGAAAACAATCTTTTCTCACCTCACTATGGGCAAATAAAGACTTTAACTTTAGTCTGCACTGGATTAAGAGTGGTTAAAATACCTTTTAACAGAAGCTTTAAAGCACTAATAACTACCAGAAGACTAAAAACTCTGTCATTTTTTACAGGATATAGAAAACTAATGCAGTCCATAGAGGTAGCCCTTTAAAGCTACTGGGTTTTCCCTGTAATTGCCAAAGTCATTCTAGAGAAAGTCTTTGTTGAACCTGTTTTAATCTATGGTGCTTTTGTGAAAAATAACTCCCTTGTTGAATTTAATTGATTCATGTATTACATTTTTTGAAAGGTTATACGTTCCGAAATTAATGTTTGATTGCTGGTAGAGTAGAGAGTGCCTGGTGGAATAAAGGATCAGACCCTTAGATGTAAGCCGATAGCGATAGGTCGAAATATCAGAGTAAAACTAACCTCACACAAAATCCCTTACTCTTTGGGTATTTTTTAGAAGTTCTCAGAGTTTTCCTCGGGTGGCCTGTTTTCAAAGCTTGAATACATTTTTTTCATGTGTAAAATAATGGGTCTCTGAAATCTGATACTGGTAAAAATGACTAACCTATAGAAATAAACAGAAAGGTTTAATCCTTAATTAGACCAGAATATGTGGAGTCTACTCCAGGAGTAATATCACATCTTAAAGATGAGAAGCAGCGACTTTTAATATCACTCGCTGCCGTGTGTCCAATGAAGTCCTGAGAAGTGACTAAAAACACGGTTTCAGATAATCCACACTCAACTGAACTTTGAATGTGTACACTGTCGATTTACCATCAATGAAAACCGCGCCTGGATATTCATTTCATTGCATTGCAGCAAATTTAGTTTTTGAAAATGAAAAGTATCTTGCTCATTGTGCAAAATTGTGCTATTGCGCTACATTGTACAATTACATAACTTTAGATCAATAAATGCTGCTGTTTGAATCGGGACTTCCATTTTCAGTTCAGCCAAAAATGTACTAATTATGTGGGCCTGACCCAAAGACAAATGCTATGCGAAGTAACGCATACTTCCATCTGCTTTTCATTCCATAAAATTTATATATAAATCATTTTCATAAATAATTTAATTAGGAAGTACCCATTAGGAACAATTTGTTAAAAGCTTACAACTGAAATACTGAATCAAATACTCATTCTTACTCACTTTGCTTGAACGATCTATATGTGCAAGCAGTGTTAGCATTAAATGTAGAATTTTCTAATCATCGTACTTTATAATTTAATAGTCTATAGAAGGATTTTGCATACTGTAAAGTTCTACTTTGTCACATTGATGAAGAGACCCGACTTTTCTTTAGCATAATTCTGTCAAGCTATTTTCCTCCACTGATACCAGGCTATGAGAACACTTTAATTTAAACTATATACAAACCATTTATTTAAATGAAAAAAAACAAAAAACTGATATGCTAAATATATTAAGTTATTTTCTCAGAGCACAATACATTATTTAGTGTGTGGTTAAGGAAAAATATAGCAATTGCACCCCACAGAACAGTCTCAGTTGAGTTTTTGTCTCTTGTTTTTTGTTGGCTATGTTTTATTTCAACCATTGCCTTTCTCCCAGTACTCCCCTGTTTAACAGGGCAACTCATTTTTATGTCTGCTGTAGGTGGCTAACAATGCTGGTACTCGCCAGATACATCTGGCAAGGGCGAATATGAAGTTCACAGAGCTGGTATGTTTTGGCCATTTTGGGTGGATCATAGTGGGGGCTTTACAAACTTTCTATTCTCAAAGTGACGATAGTGCGATGTGCTAAGAGCGAGAACTGAGTATAACATTCTTACTCACTTTGCTTGAGCGATCTATATGCATCAGGATATAGACTCATAAATAAGGACAATAACTTTGGGATGAGACCTATAGCCAAAGAGCATAAAGGCTGTAGGGAGTACATTTTGTAAATGGCTTCTGCTGAAATATATTCAGGGCTAAATGTAATCAGTGGGGTTAGAGGGGCTAGCATTGACAAGCTGCCAGACACTTATCAAGTTCCCTGCTAAAACAGCCTCTCGAGATCATCAGTGTTTCCACTGACCTTTATCTCACCCCTGACTCCCCAACTTAAAAACCTTTAAAGTGATATATATATGTAATTTATTTAAAAATTACCCACTAGGAGCAATGTGTCAAAAGCCTACAAGTATCTAACATGCTCCTGCAACGTACACGCACAAATAAATCAAGAAAAGAACAAAGCAAAGCCTAGAAGTATTTCAATGGAAGCTTTTTGAATGGGTAAACTATGGTTTACTTCAACCTCTGCATGCAACTCACAGGCAAAATTACAGCCACTTGCGTCATTGGCCAGTTGAGCAAAAGGGTGATGATGTCACAGGCAATTGGATCAAACACGGTTCATACCCTCCCATTCAAGCTCAAACTGTCAAATACACGTTGTTTTAGTTTTTTTATTATAACTTACATAATCCTAAAGAGAGAAATTGAGCATCAAATGACCTTTTACACATTCAAATTTTCCCAAAATAAATCTGAAGTCAATCCTCAATTTCAACTATTATTTCTTCTTAATATTGATTCTTATTCACAACTAGTTGTTGATGAATTGGATCAGAGGAGAAAAGAGTCTTTCTTTGTCTAATTCATAGTATATTCTTGTGCACTAAAATCGTTTTTGTGAATGGCAAATTTGTACACAATGTTCTTTAAATTACATATAAATTTTTTCTTCAAATTGGAGGGGAAAAAAACACCAGAAAACAAAAAAGAACTGGTGGAATTGTGTGGGGAGAGAGTCTGATAAGTACCAAACTGACACTGAAACATCATCACTGTTTTGTCATCATTCTCTATGATGTTTTTTGTCCTCGTCCCCCCCTTTTAGATGTACTTCAAACAAGTAGCACACACTCCACAAAAGGAATGACTAGCTAGCTAAGAAGGACCAGCTGCTACCTGTAATAAATTATGGGCTTTTATAAAGCTGGTCTTCAATTACCCTTTCTTTATGCAGCGCACACAAATACTAAACCAACCTTGCTGATTCATGTTGAACTGAAAACATGTGAATAGACTCAAAAGGGATTGACACATCTTAGAATATCGATTCATTTAAAGCTTTCTGTATCAACCACCCAAAATGATGCTGAACTGGCTTTATGGTCCAGTGATGGAGAAATGTTTTCTTTTATGCTTTCAACCTCCCTAATCACTCTGGTGTGTTCTTTCTCATGATTTACCACCTACTACCACCAAACTCATGATTGAATTTCACATGCTGTGCCCCCAATCTGGACCAGTCTCTGCTGTGTGCTCAGCTGAGTGTGTCAATAGTTCATTGACCATTATCTTACTCCACAGATGCATGCAGATAGCAGTTTTGAAAATATGACTAAACCTTAGCCCTGTGAAGTTGATCACAATATAAAACAAACAAAAAACCCTAAAAGCATTTGCATTTTGGCATTACTAAAATGAGAAGAATGACAGAACCAGATTAATGAGCCTGGGGATGTATCAACATTATGTCTGGCACACTTGCACACAATTCTCCCACGTATTAGGGGATTCACTGTTCATCCATTGTGTATTGATTCTTAGAAGTCTGGCACCAACTTATGTGCTGACTAGAGTGAAATTAAAAAGAAAGGGAATTAGCAATCGCCTATGTAGAAGGTTCCACGAGCAACACAACTTCTCTATTTCAGAATCCAGGTGGTTTTGGGCGCTCAGATTAAGCACAAAAGGAAACTGTGAGGCTTATCTTCCCCACCAATAGTTGTGGAGAAAAGTGGAAATACATATATAATTTTATTTGAACCTATGTCTTTCAACAGATAAAATGGAGAAAACACTGGGGCTGTATCATCAATTCAGATATATTTTATATACAAGTAACCATGTTCTATTCCCAATTCTCAGCAATAGTAACTCAAAGTATCTAATCTACTTTTAGTCCTTTTTTTGGCAGTATTTGACCTTTCATAATGATTAGTCTTCAAACATCAGTGCGAGAGAGGCCAACGGTTTACAGAGAAAATGCTTCACTTGTCTTTATGATTGCACCACATTTACTTTAACAGCTGCGGAAGGTAATTCAGGAAGAAAAAACATAATAGTTAACACAACACATTGACCATTAGGAGGTCCACAGAATCATTAGCTCGGTGCAATGTTGAATGGTGTATTAAGGCAAAGCCAAAAAATGTTATCCGAATTTTGCTTTGATAGGTGTCTGGCAACTTGTCAAGGTTTCTTTCCAGGACTAAAATGGGGCTGTCAAGCTTTGAGCTAAGCTACATTCCAAAATTAGTAAAGGCATTCGGGAAGCGTTGGTACGTTTTGGCCAACGGTTGAATGCAAAGGAACCGAAAGGGAGTGGAGGGATTTCATCAGCTATATGCTGACACCATTAAGGGGTGGAAGGTGAAAAGAGTAAGTTAGTAATTTTGTAAGTAAGGGGAGAGTCAGACACAAAAATGGTTGTTAGTACAGTTACAACAGAGGTTTAATCCAATTGATTAGTAATACTGATTTAATCAATTTAGAGGTAAGGTGAGGATTATTTAATTTGAATGCACAAACCAGATCCATTGTTTTATCTCAATATGTTTTATCATGAAGAAGGGGGTTGTTTTGGTTAATAACTAAATGAATCCATAAAAGTTAAAAAGGGTAACACACAAGCCATGCA